TCTAGATGCCGGTTGAAGCGGACGACCGCGCGTCTCTCGTTCCCATCCGCCTGACGGTTGTCGTCCGGCGGTGGTGCACATGTGCGCGACGCATGGTCGGAGATCCGACGCATAGAAAAAATTGCCGAGGAACATGGTTATACTAAAGCCTTGGTCCGCGGTTTAGCACGGGCATGCGCCCGCCGCCCCCCAGGCCGCAGGGACTGCCCCCCCCACCGCCGGACGACAACCGTCAGGCGGATGGGAACGAGAGACGTGCGGTCGTCCGCTTCAACCGGCATCTAGACCCCCTATACAGAGAAATCGCTAGCATCAGCCGCACCAAAATCGCGTACTTAAGAACCGGCACGCTTTACGACTTGCTGCGCAACGCGAAGGACGCAATGGATCTCACCAGGGCCCCAGGTGTTTACTCCATTCCCGTACGGGACGACAGATTCAATAGAGACTTAGTTTACATTGGCTCCACCATCCGATCAACACAGAAACGAATACGGGAACACCAGGCTGATATTAAGCATAAAAGGCACACCACTGCCTTAGCGACCTATGTCACCGACCCTGAAATAAGGGCAGACTTCCGGAACACCAAACTTATCAGACCCGCGTTCCGCGCTGATCACATCCGTCACCTGGAGACCTGGGAGATTCACAAAGCTATCATGGGGGGCAACTGCATCAACTACAGGGATGGGGAAACACTTGCACAGGCGTGGAAGTATTTATTCGAGGAGTTCGAGCAACGGCGGTCGGAGGGGTGAAACCCGACGCGCACGTTTATTTATGTACATCGTTGGCAACATCGTTACGACGGTCAGGTCGAAACACGGACAGTCACCACCTGAAGCAGACCTCGGTGGAGGTCGAAAGTACTTGTGGAATTTAATAGTGACATAACACTCGTTAAAAAGGTTTTCGTGGGTTGTCATTTTTAAAACAATTTGAACTTTAGTAAATAGCTAAATGCTGTTCTTATGATTATTCAAATACCAAGATATTCAGAATAAGTTTTGATATATTTTTATATGAATTAGCATATAATAGATTAAAATTCAAGAATATTTAACTTATGTTTTAAAATAATATTACATGCCTACAGTAAAATATTGTACAGGCATATCTTAAGTTAAGGCAATTCACTTTAAAAAAATCTATTGATACATGCTTTTCAATTATGCATGGTGTAAACAAAAACACTACATCAGGCTCTCTTGCTTCTGCTAGATATTAGCTAAATACAGTGCATGAAAATATAGGTAATCAGTAGTGGGATATTCAATGGCATAATCAAAATGCACCCCTACTTCTCATCAGCAATAGCTTCTATGGAAGATAACAGCATAGTTTAAATTATAAAGTCATAGAGCTTCTCAAAATTAGTACGAAACATTTGTTGTCCTGTTAAAATACTCAAGCAGCTGAATACTGTCAAATAATAAGTGAGGAGAAACTGCATGAGGCTTCCCTGCATGACCCCTCACATACTCAAGGCAACTGACTGCACACAGTTTACAGTATTCTAAAAGGATTCTATATTTCAAAAACTAAAACATTCCAATCACTAAAACATAATAACACTATTCTTTTAAATCAATTTCAATCACTCATTATTTAATGTCCAGCTACTTCTCTTTTGAGTATTTTAACTAGAAAAAAATGCTTTGTACTAATTTTGAGATGTTATATAACTTTATAATTTAAACCAGGGGTGTCCAACCTTTCTGTTTCTCTGGGCCACATTGGAAGAAGTCATGGAGTTTTGGGCCACAAGTATATTTTGACCCGATCCTTAAATATACAAGTATATTTAAGTATTAACATGTCTAGATTATAGTAATAAGTATTAAAAGTTTACCACAAAAAAGAATATTTTTAAAAATTGCTTTTACAGACACTTTCAATTTTTATTTAGAAATAAATAAATTCATTTATTATAAAGGAGACAAACAAAAATTTATTTGAAAAACACAAATATTTGTTTTATTTGGGTCTCTAATTAATAAAAAGCGACAAGACAACATTTTAAAGTGCATTTTTATTCAACTAATATATTTATAAATAATATGTAGCCCAAAAAGTAGCCAATGTGCCAACTGATATTTTTTACATCAAACTAATAAAAGGGTAGCCAAATTTGGCGCAAAGTAACCGAATCTTGCAACGCTGGAAGGAATACTATAAAAAGCTGGAGTTGAGACTCAAAGAATTATAGACTCAATGCGGGGAAAGGAGAAAGAGGACAAAAGATAAAGAAGTGAGAAAGGTTGGAAATTAAAGGTCCATATTGCATAACAGGAGGTCTATTTAACTTTTCTCATTACTTTTTATCTTTAGGTCTTTTTCTCCTTTCCCCTGAATTTGAGTCTATACTCCTTTGAGAGCCAACTCCAGCTTTATTTAGTATACCTTCCTCATCACACATTTCTAAGTATTTGAAAATATTTCTTTTTCACTAAAAATTAAAATATGTATAAAGGTTTACGGCTTTGTGAAACTTCTTTTTTGAGTTGATGCAGTTGAAATAAATAAATAAATAATTTTAAAAATTTTCGGTTTTGTGTACACGTTTATTGGGCCGCATTCAAACTTCCTTTGGGCCGCATGCGGCCCGCGGGTTGGACACCCCTGATTTAAACTGTGCCACCATGGGGCCAAGATGGATTTTGCATCATGAGAAGGGGTAGTCAGATGTGCATTGTGACAACACATCGAGTAAGACTACTACCAATACACTTGTGTGAGAAGCTAGAGACAGTGCAAGTGTCTTTCTTTAAGGTTGGAAATTTTCTCTAACCTTCATTTAATAATTAACACAATTAAGCTGTTTGTATGTGTGAAAACTACACAAACCATTTTACATGTTTGTGAGAAATGGATACAAAGGGAAATAAACCTTCCATCCAATATCTATTTCCCATGAAGAAATCTTATCTTGCCAGCTAATGATACATGTGCAAGTATGTCCCACAGCTGCCTGTGAGATGCAATGGTTATATTCCATCACATACAAAAGACTGATCCTCCCAATTGGAGGGGATTAGAAGATAAAAAGGACAGAAATTCCGATCTCAGGACGGAAGCTAGTGGGTCAAGCTTCAGTCCATCAATCCTCTCGGCTCCCAGCTCTTGACTGTCTCCATCAAGTTTGACCTTCCAGAGGGAAGAATTCTCCTCACTGTTACCTCGTTGAATGACTCAAGCCGAAGACTGTTCGAATATCAATAATATGTTCAAACCCCTTGTAAACTCTCTCTTGGTATAGGTATAGGTAGTTAGATACTGTATATATTTTATCCCTTTCGCGATATTATCTGATATATATATATATATAGTCTAATTGTATTAGTTTGTATATAATCATCAATTCATTTATAATATTAAATTTGTTGTTTGTTTAACTGGTATCAATATCAGTTCTTTCAAAGACAGATCATCCTGTCGATGTATCTGAGACCCGTCCTCCACTCGATAAGACAATACAAACCCTCCTATTTTAATGCTTTGTTAAAGATAGTAATTGATAATTGCGAGTTAAGATGTGTTATTTCTTAACTGGTATCAGGACCCTGATGATGACAGGGTCTTATGATCCAGGAACCAAATAAGAAATTCTATTGCCATCCAGTGACAAGGTGAGTGGGAGTAACCAGCCCGATGCCACACACAAGTGATAAGAGTAATCAACTCATCACTGCAGCTTCTCACACTTGTATTTAGCTAGTATGTAGCAGAAGCAAGACATAGCCTAGTGTGATATTTTGTATACATCTGTATTCATATTTATTGTTTTCAGTACTTGTCTTGCTCTTAAAGAAAACATGAATACTCCCCTAATTATTTTTACTTTGGTATCTTTTTTTAATTCTGTCTCGTTTATAAAATTGTACTGCCCTATGTTCTTACCAGCATAGAGGTATGAAGAAGTACATGTCAAGAGTTGATATTTGGCACAGAGTATTAGGTGCCCAAATCATTTGCGCATAAAAAAAGTTCAGACTCGTAGGTAGTTGGGGAACCGAGAATCAAGTCAAAATAAAATACAAAATGGCGGCCCTCTTCTACAAACAGGCAAAACAGCCACCTCACCCTACCAAAGTCAGGTAGGGGAGAATACCACCCGAAGTCATTCTAAGAAGTGAACTCTGACCTTAGGATCAAACACGTAGTTTCTTCTATGTTAAATAAAATTTGTAATCTAATTCTGTAAATTTAGGAGTGATTCAAATATGACGTTAAAACAGTTTTATGTCATTACAAGTGGATTTTTTTTAACATTATCTAGTATAGTAAAATCGTAGGACTGATAAAAATTTGACATTATATTAGGGTTGTCGTTACATTCGATGACATTATAATTGGGTTAAACTGTATATTGTTTGTGCAAAATAAAAAAATAATTTCGGACAATACAATAGCCATGATTATTTTTTCAAAAACGGGACCTTTTTGTTACACATCAACAAAAATTCAACCCGGACTGACACGCAATGGAGAGAAATTTTGAAATTAGATAGGTTAATTTCATCAAAGATGCATCGTGGATGATCTTGTGGTCGTAGCCAGCGAAGTTTGAACGATTGCGCTCAAAAGCAGCGATATCAAAGAAGATAGGAGAATGAGAATGAGACCTGTTTTGAGCATCAAAGTGATTCCGTCTCCGAGACATAGTCTTGTCCCAAATATGGTTTTGCCATTTTACTTGTTAAGCTTAAAATTACGCACACAGAACCAATTTATAGTGTGGTAACATATAAAAATGTCAAAAAAGTTTTTCGACATTTTTTCATGTTACCACACTGTGTGTAATTTTTTAAGTTAGTGTGGTGTGGTGAGTAGTTATTTGTTTTTAAGCTTTTATATGAACTAACAAGTGAAAAAAGGCTTTAATTCACATTATAGTGATAGTCTAAAACCTAACCTGCCATATTTATGAGCAATGCCTTTATAAATTTCTAGATGAATCAATATTTAAAAGTTGAAATTAATTACAATAAACTTACTCTGTCTATTATCATGATTCTCTTTGTCTTGCTGCTCATCTCCAGATGCTCCTGATTCTTTGTTTTTCTTTTCAATTTTAATTGTTGTTGATATAGCTACATAAAGATAATTAATGTTAATATCTTAGTTTTTAAATATCATATAGAAATTGGCTAAATAAGACTAATATTAATAAATAATTTTAATTAACTTATTAACAAACATTGTTACAGAAATAGCATTTATTTATGTTGTTCACTATTAAAATATTTATTAACACTCAAAAACTTAAAACAGTTTTTGGTGTTTTGTTTAATTTTTAAATTTTACTCAGTCTCCTTTTGATAGGAGAATCTTATCTGCTCATACAACAGTTGGTCTGGCAAAACTGGCTGGTCTGCAGCTTAGCTGACAGGTTCTCTTGGGATGTATACAAAAGAAAATACAAAATAAGCTGGATTGAAAGAATTACAAAAGAAGAAGTATTAAGAAGTGTGGATAAGAAAAAATGCCTTTTAGAGTATGTTGAAAAAAGAATAAAGGAAAAAAGTAAAAACTTCACGTAATTAAATAATTTAGAAAATTATGGAATAAAGCATCAATTCAGACTAGAATGCAAATGTTCAATTTCTGCCTTTCATCCAAATGTGATATTAGTTATACTGTACTATACAAACTTGCTGGCTGATTAGTTATATATTTTAATTTGAATTACCCTAATTTTGTGAGATTAACCCACACATTATGTGTGTTTAAATTGACATTTAAACACACAGGTGTGGATCATGCAATAATACATGTTGTTTGTTGATTTTAACTTGCAATTACAAACTTATCAAATAGCATTTCTTTTGTCTGAACTTATCACGTGTGTTAAACAAAATTTAAGAAAAATTCTTAAAAGTAGACAATATATAAAAAAGCGTCTTCTAACTTTGTCCCTTTGCCCTTAGAACACACTATGTATTGTCTACTTTTAAGAATTTTTCTTAAATTTTGTAACTTTAACTTACTGGTCCTGGTAATTTTTATCAAATTCACAAGTATCTGTTTTATTTATTTCATAACCATATTTTAAAGAACTACTAATGGAAATGAAATGGGGTAAAAACAGAACATTTACCCATGATCCATTATACACTACATATTGATTAAATATCATGTTATTCAAAACCTCTTTGCCAGTGTAGGGGAATATAGTAGTATAGATTATATGTTGGTATGGTTATGTATCACCAAAAGTGCAGAATATGTTGGAGGTTCGGGGGAAATTTTTGATAGAAAAATAATAATATGACAATAGCCACAAAATCATTTTAAGCTTATGCTTAGCCAAGACACTACTCCATTAATGAAAAAAATTTGGCAAAATACAGGGAAATGTCAGTATAACAAATGCCAGTTTAATGAAATTTTCAGTATAACGAATGTATCTTGAATTCCTCACCAATTTCCTATTCAGCTTAGTGCAAAAATGTTTCAATTTAACAAATACCATTATAATGAAAATTTCAGTTTAACATAATAAAAATTCTGTCCATTATGAAAGAATAGTTTCATTATAATGAAATCTATAAATGTATAAATCATTCATTATTAGTAACTAATGAATGTTACGTCAAACAGTCTGGCAACATTAATTTTAATCCTTAGTTATTATTTCATTTAGATGTTATTACTCAACAGTTTATTTCTTTTTAATTAAGTTTGTGAGAAAACATGGAGAACGACAAAAAACAAAAGCAGTTTTCTTTGGAAGAGAATAATAAAATATTGGATGTATAAATATGACTCTGCCCTTTTTTAATAGACTGCATTAGTAGAACTGCTTTCATGCAACTGAATCTGGAAACACTTTTATTTGAAAGGTTTGACAGCATTCTTTAAAAAATAAGTATATGACATCTGTTTAAAGTGTAAACAATAATTATTTTTACCTCATTAAAAATGTCAAGTTATGTACCAAAAAAAAAAAAAAAAACAGCATTTGCAGGAAGTTTTACTTCATTATTTTATTGCAAAGAAAACTGCAGCAGAAACATACCATTTACTGTTGAAAATTTATGGTGACCATTCTCCATCAAATACAACTTGCAAAGAGTGATTTCAATGGTTTAAAAATAATGATTTTGATACACATGACAAAGAGCATGGAAAACCACCAAAACAATTTCAAGATGAAAAATTGGAAGCATTACTGTATGAAGATCCTTACCAAACACAATTGGAATTGGCTGCTGCATTAAATGTTATCCAACCATGCATTTCCCAACGTCTATATGCAATGGGAATGGTTCAAAAGCACGGAAATTGGATCCCATATGAATTGAAAGGAACATTGAATGTCGAAAAAATGTGAATTATTGCTTCAGAGAAAAAAAGAAAAGGTTTTTTTGTACTGAATGGTTACTGGAGATGAAAAATGGATTCACTTTGACAATCCTAAACAACCAAAGGCATGGATGCATCCAGGTGAACCAGGTCCATCAATGTCGAAACAGAATATTCATGGAAGTAAGGTTATGTTATGTATCTGGTAGGACCAAAAGATGTAGTATAATATGAGCTGAACCGAGTCAGATAATGCTGAACATTACAAACAGTTAATCAAATTGAACAAAGCATTGAAGCAAAAATGTCCAGAATATTCCAAAAGACATGACAAGGTTATTTTCCAACATAATGCTTGTTGCAAGATCATGTCAAACATGTTGCAAGATCAGTCAAGAAAACTCCAGAAGCACTTCACTAGTATGTATCATCCCACCCGCCATATTCACTCCTTTAGATTACCATTTGTTTTGATCCATGCAGAGCAACCTTTCTGGAAAGCAGTTCAGTTCTTATGAGGCTATCCAAAATTGGGTTGATGATTGGATTGCTTCAAAACAACAAAACTTCTTCCTTCATGGAATCCATTTGTTGCCTGACAGATGGGCAAATGTTGTAGCTTCTGATGAAAGATACTTTGCTTTTAAAATAAAAGAAAATTTATTCAAACAAATGTCTTTTATTTACTCAGAAAAGGGTGGAGTCACAATATTAGATCATGTGAAAAAGGAATTAAACAAAAAGATGTGCCTGATGGCCTACTGGAATGCTGTGTCACAATACTGGATTTTATCAAAAAAACTTTGATTAAAGAAATAACACACAAAAATTAGACTTCTTTTCCCAGAAAATGATGGCTTTGAGCAAAAATGACAATTAAAGAGGAAGGATTCAAACTAATTGATACTACTATATTGTTAATTTAGTTGTTCAATCTTGATATTTTTTGATAATTTTTTATTACAGATTAATTTTTATCTTAATTTAATATAACTTACATTCTGAAAATGTGAAATTTGGTTCATATAAATATTAACAGACAAATGGTTTTTTAAAAACTTTCTTATTTCAAAATGTAAGCAATTTTTTTATATTATCAATGAATATCTTTTATCCTTCCATTTTTGACTGTGTTTCAATATAACAAAATTTTAGTATTTTGATGGTCCCCAATTTCATTGTACTGACATTTCACTGTATAGGGATCACATGTTTTAAAAGTAAAATTGAAATGTTTGCTAAACTAATATTGCTCAACCTGTAATTTTTGTAGAATAAAGTACGTGGGGGGACCCAAAAAAAAATAAATAAATAAATCGGATTTTCTGTATAAAAACTTTATTTATTAACTTTTTTACAAAATTTCTTCAGTCACCTTCAAAGTACTCTCCATTAGATACGATGCACTTTTCAAGTCTTTTTCCCCACTGTTTGAAGCATCTCTGGAACTCTTCAACCTTGATATCGTCCAGTGCCCTTAGGGAAGCTGTTTTTACTGCCTCCACATCATCAAAACGCTTCCCTTTTAGATTTTTCTTCAATCTCGGAAACAGAAAAAAGTCGCACGGGGCTAGGTCTGGTGAAAACGAAGGGTGGGGAATGACAGTCCATCCCGAGAGGCCAAATAGTGAATCACTTGTAAGGCCGTGTGTGCAGGGGCATTATCGTAATGAAGGAACCAGTCACCTGATCGCAAAAGTTCCGGGCATTTCCTTCGCACATCCTCTTGCAGACGTCTTAACACTCTTTTGGCAGATTTTTTCAATGTTTTCATCATTTCAAGATGTTGAAGGATGCCCAGAACTTTGCAAGTGGAACAAAATAACAGTAAGAGAAACACAACACTACGCTCAAATGTAAACCTACAAACTGACACCGTTTGCACAGCTGTTTCGTGAAGGTCTCTACTAACCCCATGTAATAGGAGAACTCTCTACTACGTCTATGAATGACAGCATGCTCTCAGTTCAGTTTTTTTCTGGGTCCCCCCTCGTATAATACAATCTCAGTAATCCTGTGGCTCTTTGTCAGTTCAACAAGTTCAGTAATCCAATATTAAAGATTGTTTGGCTAATCAAAAAAAATGCAATATTTTATAACAAAATATTGTACAAACATAAAAATCAGCCATCAAAAATACTGCACCTCCCACCAAATTTCCCAAAATTCCTTCAATTTCCCACTAAATTTAGTGGAAATCCATCAACTTATCAACATTGAGTATTGGTGACAGTAGCATACTCAGATGTTTTTATCAAATAATGTTTTACTGCATCATTAACAGTTGATTCAGCACTGTCAAATTAATTTATGTGCCATTGAATTTATATTACTTCCAATAATCTGACTATCTCACCTAACACTGTTTACTTTCATGTATGTCAGATTACTAAGATTGTACAATAGCAGTTTTTTATTCTTTATTTGTAAAAAAAAAATCACATAAGTCAATTAGTATAGATTTATGTCAACTGCATATTTCAAGATTACAGCTGGAAAACTGTTATTTAGTAATAAAGTCCACACCTTATATATCTCCTGCAAGCAGAATTAGTATAACAAATGTTTTCAGTTTATTTTATAAACCTGCTTCAGGTTTGAAGTTTTACAAATTCAAATTTCAACATGGAATGTTTTAAATTTTCCATGACATTAATTATAAATTATTTTTTTAAACATTGTAATTGTGTATACATAAATATATTAAACCATTATATATTAATATGTATATAAATAATAAAATTAAAAATACAAATACAGTGAACCATTATTTATTCCTTACATC